TTAATGCCATTAACAACCATTTAGTTTCGATAACTATTGTAAGAAGTAAATTGTTATTTAAAGAAAAAAAAAGAGTATTCCTATATATATTTTGTGAACTAGAAAATGACAAAAGGCTTAAAAAGTATTAAAAGATAAAGAGCCAAAAGCTAAGAGGGGGATTTACATCCCAACCTAGGCCATGTTTGTTTGGGCGGATTGGATTAGGCTGTATTAACATTTTCATGACTAATAGTCTTAGGATTACGAATTCCTTTAAATTGTATATCCTATCCTATATTTGGATTAAGTTATGATTATAAAGATGGACTAATAGTCCAGACTTTCGCTTAGTCTTTCAATTTATATCTCACCCCCCTCTATGGGATTGAATAGTCCATTATATGTAGGATACCATATTCGAATAAATTATTAGTTCGTACTTCAATTGTTTAATCAAATATCGAATTAATAATTTTATTGAATTATTAATTTAATTCCAAACTTATGTCCACTTAAATAAACATGACCTTAAGATTACATGAGACTAACCAATGGACAACCCGATCTGCAATTATAGGAGTCCAAAGAAAAGAAATTTGACATCTAGAACTAGCAAGTTAAATGTCGTGGATGATGATATGGCAATCCCAAGGAGTACCAACTCAAACACACTAAACTCAATAAGGGTGTAAGAGGGGCTAATTTGAGTCCACTAAATTAATTAGGCCCAATAATCCAAAGTTGGTAAGCCCGAATTTATCATAAGTCTAAGATTGGTGGGCCCGGATTTATCGCCATCAAACGGGCCGAATCGCTCTAATCCTCGAAAGGGTTCGGATCCACGAACTTAGAGACTTACTCGGGCCCGAACTCGAAAGGGTTCAGATCCACGAACCTAGAGATTCGAAGCACTTGGCTTCGAACGAATTCAGACATAATCTAGAAGCTGCTCCATTAATGAGTCTCAAAACACTTGCGGGCTCGGAGCTTTCCAAGATCTACGCACCAGAACCATGGATGTATTGGAGTTCGAACAAAAGACTCGATCTCGAGGATGGTGAGTGGAGATAAATTCACTCTTCGGTTAAACTAGCCTATACTCGGGTTGAGGTGGCATGACCCCGGGAGGTCCATGAGACTCGGTAATATTTTGCGGCAGGGCGTTCTCTTGAACTACCCCTGATCCTTTTGTGGCAGGGCGTCATCTGGGACTACCCCTGACCCTTTGGGATGATTGGGGATCATTAGTTAGGTGTGGCTAAAAAGAAGGGTTCGCTGAGAGGTTGATCTCCTCTTCGGGGTTTTCCTCATCCTCGAAGAGGTCACTTCCTCAAACAAGGTGGTTAGAGAGAATATGGGTTTCATCTTACATCTTGAGGTGCTTATAAATAGCACCCACCCATAGCTTTACAAGGGATGAATTTTGGAGAGATAACTCTTGGGAAATAACTAATTTCCCTTCTCCATTATCAACCTTGAGAGTGAAAGTGGGAGATCCATAGGAGAGCCTTGCTATTATTCTCTCTCTAACTATTTTGCTTTCTTCTTCACCCAATCTCTTATCTTCATTATTTCTTTGCTCTTATGTTCTTAGTTGAGACTATTGAAGAATCTAAACCTCTCATTATTTTCTAGAGAATTTGAATTTTTGTTCAAGGATCTTCGAAGATCTTCGAATTTTCCAACGACGTTCTTTAACCCTTCTCATACAAAGGGTCTTGTTGCCAATTTTTTACTTGGAACTACAAGCGATTGTGGGTATTTTTGTTTTCTTAGAAATGTAATGTTGGTCTATTTTGGCAATACCGCAAAAAAGTTAGTTTTTTTTAGTCATATCATCTCTTTATTTTTTATACGTTTTAAAAAAAATTAATTTTTAACCTATTTCTTAAAATAGGCCATTGTTTCAAAGTAAATGTCATTCATATGAAAATTTTCAAAACAAAATCAATAACTAAATATCACAATTAAAAATTACATGTAGCATTTTACTTTATATCAAATTTTCATATTATTAAAAAACTTATCATTTAAAAAATATAATTATACCAAATGAAATATCACGTGCAATGTATGTTACACACGTATGCTATGCCTAGTTTTTTTAAAAAAGAGAAAATTACATTCCAATGTCATAATTACAATTATTAATATTTATAAATTTATCACTAATTTGTAATTATTTTCTTAAAATCGATGTAATATTTACCCTCTAAAAAAAATCAAAAAGTATTTCTATAGTTATTAAGTGTTGCTATTAACATCTCATCAATTATTTTGGACCTCCTATTTTTTAGTTTTTTTTTATTACAATAATAACCTCAGGCCCCGTTTGTTTTATGAGATAGAATGGAGGGGATTAATAGTGAGGGGATTGTTAGTGAGGGGATTGATAATGAGGAATTGTTAAATTATTTTTATATAAAATAATAAAACAAATAAAAAAATATAAAAAATAAACATCATATTTAAAAAAAATAAAAAAATTTCTAATCCCCTCACTATTTTTCTAATACCATCTCTACCTCCTCTTTACCAATCCCCCTTCCTCCTTCTTACTAATACCAAGGGATTACTAGTCCCCTCCCTATCTCTCAAAACAAACACCCCATACTCAATCCCCTCCTCACTATCAAATCCAATCCCCTCCCCATAACCTCAAACAAACGGGGCCTCAAGTGAAATTACTAAAATAGACATTAATAATTTGGGACACCCCATTTCACAATTAAGTCCACATACCCACTACATCATGAGTTAGGATTTATGAAAGCACCCATCTCCATCACCACCCATCCATATTCCCAAAATCTCACATTCAAAATCTATCCATCCTCAAAACCTTGAAAACCCTTTGGCGGCAAAATTCTGACGACAACTGTGATAACCATTTGATTACATATACTTTTCCGACAATGACAATGAGTGGAAATTTTTTTTTACCAACCACAACTCCATGAGATGAGATGAGTACAACAATAAAAACTTAGAAGAGATTCATAACTTTGATGGTGTTCTTAGCTTAGAGAAGATTGGCCTTGTAAAGGTAAGTTTCTTGAAAAAAAATGACAAAAATAATAAAAATTGTTCTTCATTTTTTCGAGACTGAACTCTCAAACATATGGCTGAAATTTGAGACATAAGCCCGAACATTTTTCATTTGTTCTAGAACAGATAACCAAAGCAGCAGCAAAAACAGGCAAACAGAGGAGATCGAACTACGCTTAGGAAGTCGATCGGTGGGTTCCTCTCCAATTTTGCTCACACAGAAAGCATACAAATACAGTGAGGCCATGCATGAATCATAGAAAACTAACCAAAGAAGTATGAAAGTGGATTGTGTTGTGTATGTGAAAAGAGGTAATAAAAAAAATTAAACAGATTGAGAAATCTCGTAATGAAGCAGAGAAAAAAAAATTTCTTAATCACCACAAATTTTTTTCATTGGTTTTGGGAGGTTCTATCGTTGTGGATTTTGTTAGGGTTTTGGAAGAGAAACTTTTTGGGATATGGGCAGTGTAAGGTGTGGGGTGTGCATTTGAATGAGTGAAATGTTTTTACAAGAATAATTTTGGTATTATGTGGGAGGATAATTTTTTTTTTTAAGGTTTTACAATTTATAAGTGAGAGTCCAAAAAAATAGGGATTCAAAATAATTGATGGGGTGTTAATAGCAGCACTCGTACTTATTAGATATGGGAGGGGTATTTTTGTATTTTTCACATAAATCATTTTATCGTAAGCCACCTTATCACAAGTAATTAATTAAATTAATTTTTAATAACAAAAATATTTCAGAACTCTAATTCAAGACCCCTACTAGACCTCTAATGATGTGGAACACATTATGTGAGGAAATAACCCCCGCTCTCTCTCTCTCTCTCTCTCTTATTTTTCTCTTTCTCTTTCATTTCTGCCAAGACAAATCCCTTCACTCTCGTCCTCCACATTTCCTTTCATCGACCACCAATGACCTCTCCACCGACGACGACAATATCTAGTCACCTTCTCTCTATTTCCTTTCACTGACAACCGATCTTCCTTCTCTATTTAAAAACTGTCGAACCCACCACTATTGCCGCAACAGCAACCCCTCTTCTCCTTTCCCCTATCATTGGTCGATGCTACCCTACCAAGCCCTCTATTCCTCTCCCTCCTCCCCCACTGTCTGCCGCCCCCTTCTCTCCTTCTCCTTTCTTGCTTTATATTTATAATCTAATAGACTTATTCACATTCTAGGCCTTGGAATCTTGAGAACTTGAATTCAACAAGTAACAGAGATTGAGTTACAAAATAAATAAAAAAAATCCAAAGGTTTTTGTTCAAAAACAAGTTAGAAATTTTCAGATCTATTTTTTTTTCTTTTCTTTTTTGCGCCGGTGGGTTGCTTCAAAAATTTTCAGGTCTATTTTTCTTTTCTTTTTTGCATTGGTGGGTTGCTTTTGATGGTGGTCGTCGGAGGTGGTCCTCACCAATTTTTCTTTTTCTTTTCTCTAGAGAGGGAGGAGGATGAAGAGGTTTGTGTTGTTCTTGATGGGTTTTGGGTTGTTGAAGAACTATGTTGTGGGAGATGAGGTAGGAGGTGAAGAAATAGTAGAAGAGAGAAAACTAGAGAAGCCATTTGAGGTACCTGTAGCAATATTACGCCGATCGGGGGTTCGTTTTGTAATTTTTTTTCTTTTCTAGACATCGGACAGTAGAGGAGATAGACAATGAAGGAGAGAATTATACGAGAAAGTATCGATTTTTTTTTTTTTTCCATAGTGCATAAAATACACGCATTGCATATGCAAATGGACTTCCCGACCTTCTTTTGGCTGCCACCTCAATAGAGCTTTGTTTAGAAATTCTCAATTAGAGCTACCTATCATCTCTGTATTAATAATTACAATAATTACATTAATTCATATTTCATCAATCATTTCCCATATTTGCAAACAAACTTTGCCTTAAAATTCATTTGAAAATCTCTCTCTCTCTCTCTCTCTCCTCTTCTATGCAAGAAACCCATATAAAATCACCAACGCACTACATATGCAAATGGACTTCCCGATCTTCTTTTGGCTGCCACCTCAATAGAGCTTTGTTTAGAAATTCTCAATTAGAGTTACCTATCATCTCTGTATTAATAATTACAATAATTACATTAATTCATATTTCATCAATCATTTCCCATATTTGCAAACAAACTTTGCCTTAAAATTCATTTGAAAATCTCTCTCTCTCTCTCTCTCTCCTCTTCTATGCAAGAAACCCATATAAAATCACCAACGTCAAACCTCTCTCTCAACTTGATTTCAGACAGTCCAATTCCTGCCTTCCAACCTACACAGGCTCTATTCTAATCTTTCTCTTTTTCTCTCTCTCTCTGATTGTACGATCCCCAATAGCGACACCAGTCTCTGTTGCTTCAATCTGATATATGCTTTTGAACCCTGATTCGTCGACATTGTTGTACTGTTCGCGATATTGAACCACTCAGTTTCAGCTAGGGTTTTTGTTAATCTCACCGATTGAGTGATCGGGATTGCCCCCCTATCCATTTCCATATATTGTTTATAGGGTTTATATAATTATATTATTTTATCATCAAGAATATATATATTTTTATATTTCTCGTCATTTCCCATAATTAAGTTTCAATGCTCACAGTTTATTTGGGAAAAAGAGTACCCATTTTGAGTATTTGATTTACTGTTCTATGCTTGTTGTAGTTCTTCAACAATAATATCCAATTCTCATTATTTTTCTAGCATTGAAGCAATAACATATAGTGAGTATTGGTCAAAGTGAAGTGGGTTCTTGGTAATCAGAGATAATCTGGGAAAAAGTTGAGAATTTTCATCTCTGTTTACTCTAAAAAGTTATTGTTTTTGCTTTTGTGGTGGTTGTTTTTGATTTGGGTGCAAAAAGTATAGTTGTTTTGGAAGAAGTAGCACAGGCTAGCGATCCAACAGCCGTGTATGGGCAAACATGAGGCTTGGGCGCAGCCAAGTGGCCTTCTGCCCAATGCAAGTCCACTGATTCAGGTCCTCGAATCGGAGAGATGGGTAAAAGCCGAGGAGAGAACCGCAGAGCTTATTGCCTGCATTCAGCCAAATCCACTATCAGAAGGACGCCGAAATGCTGTTGCAGATTACGTGCAGCGGCTCATTATGAAGTGCTTCTCATGCCAGGTGGTGCTTTTACTTGTAAATCTTCCCCACATGTTCTTGTGGTTCTTATCTGGTTACTACAAAGCCGTCTCCAAACCTTATTAATTTTAATCAAATTGAGTATTGAGTACAAGGTTGAGTAAAAAGCTTCATTTGATGAGAATCACTCCAATGGATAAACCCAAATTTGAGTGAAATTGCGAAGTGTCAAGTTTTGAGTGGATGCTAGGATTTTGGAGTAAAGGAGAACTTGAAAAATTTGGGTAGAAGCACTCACATTTCAAGTTGTGATTGGATAGAAATTTGAGTAAATGAAATGGGTCCCCTTCTTTTGAGTAAAACTCAATTTGGTATAGGTTTGATTGAAGGAGTGGATGGGATTTTAGTGGCTTTTTACTCAAATTTAAGTTTGAGTCAAGATTTGGGTAAGGGTTGGTGATGCCCTAAGAAACTCTTAAGTAGCACTATTAGGTTCTATTTTTCTAGGAGACTTCTTTATTTTTCTGTGGGTAAGTGGGCTGGTGGGAGTTGCTAGGAGGAAAAAGGGGAAAGTAGAAAGGGTGTTCTTTGAGGTACGAGACTCGTTGAAGGACCCATATGAGTAATGTTTAAGAGGTCACTTCAGAAATGATACATAATTAAATGTAATTGAAGAGTCAAGACCTTAGATTGATTGAAATGGTGAGACCAGATTTTTAGCCAAGTAAAGTTATCTGGAATTATGATTCATTGGTTTGAGCTTTTTCTGCATTTTAGTGAATTGGAGAATGCTCATAGTTATTGTGCAATAACTCCTTTGATTTTCTCATGCTTTAATATTTTAATACTATGATATGTCTCTTGCATAAACATGCAATATTCCCATATTTTTAATTCATTGTTATTAATACTCAAACTTCTGATTCCCAATAGGTGTTCACTTTCGGGTCTGTACCGCTCAAGACTTATTTACCCGATGGAGACATTGACTTAACGGCCTTTAGTAACAATGAAAACATGAAGGAAACATGGGCTAATCAGGTCCGCCATATGCTGGAGAGTGAGGAGAAGAACAAGAACGCTGAGTTTCGTGTAAAAGAAGTTCAATACATTCAAGCAGAAGTATTTCCTATGTGAACTCTCATTGTCTCAACTTCTCTATGCAAATTGTCTCAGCCTTTTCCCACTATGCCTGCTTTCTTAGCAACTTCTTTTTATTAATTGCAATTATAGATATTCGTGTTCTGCTCGACATTTAGCTTCAAAGGCTTGCTTCATAGTTACTTTTATTTTGTTTTATTGGGAACATGGTTTATGACATTCTACTTATCAATCTTTTTGAACAGAGTGAACCAAAAAAAACAAAAAACAGCAGAATATTCCATGTCTGTTGCAGATACTATCCTTCTTAGAAGTTCTAATCAACAAGATATTTCAGAGGTTAATAGTTTTGCCTCTATGTTATCAGAGGATGGTAGCTGTGGATTCAAATGATGAGACTGATATATAGGACATGTATTCTCTAAGCACGGGGAATGATAATTGGTTAGACAATTTTATTATAACGAAAGATAATCTGCTTGGGCAGTTCCTTAGAGCAGGATCCATTGCTTGGTACAATAGTAAAAGCTTGGGTATATTGTTTCTAAGGCAGTCACTTTGTGCAAATAACGGTTGAGTTTAGGAATAGAATGGCCTCTTGTAGAAGCTATAGAAATAGAATTGTAGGCGCGGGTAGTGATTGTTCCATCTTGTTGGTATTCAGGGTTGTCCTTGCCCAATTTGCATTTTTACACCTTTGCTGTGAGGTTGTAGTATCTCATCTTAGACATTGGTGGAATTAGTATCGCAGTTGTCCCTTATTAGTTCCATGGAATTGAAGATGCCATGAAAACTCAGTTTTCTTCTAAGGTATTATACAGGATGTGGTTTACTAACAAGATTATCTAGTGAACCACCTTTTTCCTGGGAGAAGAAAACTGCATCCATTTTTTGATCTGGGTGCAAAACGATTCCATTTTTCTTTAGTAGATACAGGGATGGCTGCCTTGTTGAAGTACGTAGTGGCTCGAATAAGGACACGGTAGCTTGCTTTAATGACTTGTTTTCTGTGATTTATAATTTAAACCTTATGAGATGTAAGAAATTTAAACCTTTTCTATTTCCTTTTAAATTAAAATTTAAATTGAGAATCCTTGAATACAAATCATATATAAACACATCAGTTTTTGTTATCCAAATTTGTTGTTGTTTCAAACTTTAGCACTATTATGATTATTATATGGTCTTTTTTCTTCCTTATCTATTTACAGGTGAAGATAATAAAGTGTCTTGTGGAAAATATTGTGGTAGACATATCTTTTAACCAGCTTGGTGGGCTATGCACACTTTGTTTCCTAGAGGAAGTGAGTTATGTGTTTCAAAAACTTTGAATTATTATTACAGTTTAAAAAATATGAACCCTGATATTGACAATGTTAGTATCTCTTTATTGAACAACAATTTATGTTCTGTAGGTTGATCATTTGATAAATCAGAACCATTTATTCAAGCGTAGCATTATATTGATTAAGGCATGGTGTTACTATGAGAGCCGAATACTGGGTGCTCACCATGGGCTTATTTCTACTTATGCCCTGGAGACCTTGGTTCTTTACATATTTCATGTTTTCAACAATTCCTTTACAGGACCACTAGAGGTTGGTATGGTTATTTTACTTTCTTCATATTGTTTTGTTTATTTGATTTTTCGTCTGAATCTTTTTCTTTGCAATTGCAGGTCCTATACCGTTTTCTGGAATTCTTTAGTAACTTTGACTGGGATAACTTTTGTGTTAGTCTATGGGGTCCTGTAGCCATTAGTTCACTTCCAGATGTAACTGGTAATAACTCACAGGAGCTTGTGATGCCTCATTGAATGACCAATGTACAGAATGTTTGGCCAATCTGACATTTCTACTTCTAATATTTTGATTTAAATGTTTTACAGCGGAACCTCCCCGAAAGGACAGTGCAGAGTTATTACTTAGCAAATTGTTTCTTGATGCTTGTAGCTCAGTATATGCTGTTTTCCCTGCTGGCCAAGAAAATCAGGGACAAAGTTTTGTTTCCAAACATTTCAATGTTATTGATCCGTTACGCATAAACAACAATCTTGGACGTAGTGTTAGTAAAGGTATTTATTTAAACATTAAATTCTTGGTTCATGTCGCTGAATTGTTGGAAGTATTTTGTTGGTTACTTTTCCTTTTCCCTTTTTTTTTTCCTCAGGTTGTTTCATTTTAGTGTATTAAATGAACTTTTCTGTTATATGTTTTCTTTTTTGGGATAATTAGACCAATCTCCCATGAGTTCCGACAATTCCATGGACCTCCCCTGTCGTTTTTGAAATTACAATGCCCTCCCCTATCATAGTTGCCGTGTAACGGCCGTTTATTATCATGTATGTTTGCAGCAAGGCCGTAAATCTCACACATTGGGAGTCAGCATAGCAACAGCCATGTGTAATATCACAGATCGTAGTTTCTGTTTGCTCGTGGTTGCTTATGAATCCTTTTAGTTATTTACCCTTATCTTGGGTCATGAATGCCATGCTGGTGAAGTCACAAATGTTTCCTCTTTCATATCCTTTCCTAAAAAAGAGGAGAAACTGTTGCCAGCTTAGGTTTTTTTATTTATTTTTTTGTAGTGTGCATTTTTTGTTCATTCAAATACTAATCTAGGTTGTGGAAAAGTTGCATAACAAAAGTTAGTAGTGCATCTTGATAAGTAAGGCACGAGGAAGACATACGGTTATGAGAAAGTTAAAATCTAATGATGTTTCTTCCCTTCTGCATATTTTCGCACACATCAACAGGAAGCAAGCTTGACAGAGAGACATAAAAACACATATCCACTATGTATGTAATGATGTCCATGGAGTTAATTTCGTCTTATATGTATGTATGCAGTTATATGACTGGTAGATTTTCTAAATGCTTTTGAATGGTAATATTTTTTGGATAAATTAATCTTTTATCTATTTGTCCTGATTTAATTTGTTTTATTACCAGGTAATTTTTTTAGAATACGCAGTGCATTTGCATTTGGGGCTAAAAGGCTGGCAAGATTACTTGACTGCCCCAAAGAGAACCTAGTTCATGAAATAAATCAGTTCTTTATGAATACATGGGACAGACATGGAAGTGGTAATCGCCCGGATGCACCGACAACTGATATTGGGCAGTTGAGATTGTCAATTCCAGATCACTTACAGAGGCCTGAGAATCTGAAGAACAATCAAAGTGCCAAAAAATTGAATGAGAATGCTTCTGGTCATGAGATCGAAGTTGATGGAACTCGTTCATGTAATGTTTCCTCCCAACATAGTAATTATTCCTTACAAAGTACGACCAGAACTACTGATGTTTCTTCAGCTACTTGTAGTCAAAGCCAAAAGAATTATGGCAACCTGAACAGCTCAAGGATATCAGATCCGGTTGTACAAGAAGTTAGTCCTAATTTGGGTATGAACATTGGTAAAGATCAGAGTGTTAACCTTGATCATTTGGTGAATGACATTCAGGGTAGGTTTCTTTTTGCACGGACACGCTCTAGTCCCGAGCTTACTGAGACACATAGTGATGTCTCTTCTCGAGGACAGCATAACAAAGCACCGGAAAGTGGAAAAGCTCAGGCTACCGCTGCAACACAAGATACGGACAGGAGGAAGAAACCAGGATCTGAAATTTTAGCAAACCATAGTGCTCGATCTTCAACCAGCAATCTTTCCTCTGTGAGGCATGTGCCATCCCATCAAAGCCTTGATGCTACTGTCAACCCAAATAGTGGTTTAAATAGCTATCATCGTCATTCAGGCTCAGCTGCCACTGGTAAAGAATTTTCTTCTGTCAGTGGGACACAAGGGACGCATCAGGAAGAACAAGATCTTGTGAACATGATTGCATCTTCTACGGTTCACAGTCTTAATGGACAGGTTCATGTACCTTTGAATTTATCTTTGGCTAACCTACCTTTTCCAATCTCGCCATCCATTCTAGCTTCAATGGGGTATTCTCAGAGAAATTTTCCAGGAATGGTTCGCCCAAATTTTCCCTTGAACTTGATTGATCCTTCTTTTTCTAACATGCACTTTCCTCAAGGTTTGTTTTCTCCAGGACTAACCCATTACTGCCCTGGCATTGGATTGGCCTCAAAATCAGAAGATATTATTGAACAAAACAATGAAAATTTTGGTTCCATGGAAGTGAATCCAGGAGAGGCTGATCATGATTTCTGGCAGGAGCAGGATGTTGAGTCTGATAGTAGAAATTATGAAATGCTTCAATCCGATGATAAGCCGCAATCAAGTTCAGTAAGCAATAATTTTGTTCCTTCATCTTCTGTTTCTGGCAGCTCGATGAGAGTTAAGCAGAAATCCACCAAAGAAAACCGAGAGTCAATGCAGGAATATCATCAAGATAGTTTCTCATTTCAAGATAACAGAGGAAATGATTTTTACTCAGATGACAGAACCATGAGTTCAAGGTTCTCATCTGCTGCCCACAGTAATTCTCTGAGAAGTAAAACCTCTTCAGAGAGTTCTTGGGATGGATCATCACCAAAGGTCTCAAAGTCGACAAGGGAAAAACGGGGAAAGAAAACATTTCTTGTAGAGCCGTCTTCTGTGTATGGGAAAAGTACAACCATGTCCGAACGTGGTATACAGGCCGAGGAGGATGACAGGGACTGGAATCCACTCTCAACCATTGGCAGTGAAATGGCAGAAAGAAGCTCAGTACCTCAGTCTGTTGGTTCTTTGCAAGGTCTGAGGCAGCACATACCAGGCTATGAACTACCTCAGACATGTAAGTCAGACTCAATGTTACCCATTGCTCCAGTGCTCTTAGGTCCTGGTTCACAGCAAAGAATGACGGATAATTCTGGGCCTCTTCAATTTACATTTTATCCTACAGGGCCACCTGTTCCATTCCTTACAATGCTTCCTTTCTATGATATTCCACCTGAGACCAGAACTTCTGATGCGTTGACAAGCCATTTTAGTGGGCAAGGGGGCCTGGATAGTAGCGATTCTGGTCAGAACTTTGATTCATCCATGGGGCTTGATCAATCTGAGGAATTAAGTACTACTAATTCTTCAAGCAGGACTGGTTTTGTTGAGACTTCTGATGAGCACAAGGCTGACATTCTTAATAGTGACTTTGCTAGCCATTGGCAAAATTTGCAATATGGGCGGTTTTGCCAAAACCCACAGTACCATGGGCCTGTGGTTTATCCTTCCCCTGTTGTGCCACCCATGTACATGCAAGGTCATTTCCCTTGGGATGGTCCTGGAAGACCTCTTTCAGCCAACATGAATCTCTTCACTCAGCTTATGGGTTATGGCCCTCAGCTTATTCCTGTTGCTCCACTCCAATCTGTTTCTAATAGACCTCCCAATATCTATCAACAGTATGTTGATGAGTTGCCGAGACATCGTACTGGGACTGGAACCTATCTGCCAAATCCCGTAAGATAGCTCTTTATGTTATCTATTTCTATGTCCATTAATATTAATGCTACTATTTTTTGGCTGTATAAGTTTTTTCGCCTGTTTTGAGGCCAATGAAGAGGCCAAGTACCATATTGTTGGTTAAAAGATGTTAATATATGTTCGATCCTTGTGTTTTTCACATGCTATTTGGTCACTAATGTTGACCTTTGTGCTTTTTTTAATTTGTAGCCCGCTGAATGGACTAGGTTTCTAGTAATGACACCGCTATCTTATCCAGGTCTATTTTTTTATGGTATTTGATCTGGATTTATTGAAAAAATTGGGTTGCAGGTCTGCAGGTTGATTTTCATTTAGTGTTTCAATGTTAATGTGTACGATGTTAATCAATGCTGCACAAAATGGTGGTTCTTGTACGACCTTCATAGACTTGAGTACAAGTATCAGGTGCGAGTGTATATCCAAGCGTCAAACCTTCATAAACCTAAATCTTAGGATATTGGGATATATCAAAATGTTGGATATGCGTACGGGATGCGTCGTGGATACTTATATATTGCATATTGTACAATGGGGGTCTTTGTTACAACTTAAAAAGAGGTGATTATAGCTTATTTTAATTTGGGAGTCTATGCCAGACTATTTGGTGCAGTTACTACTTATAGCTTATTAGGCAGAAATAACTTAAATAAGCGGAAAAAAAAAAAACTGATTATCTAGAAGATGGGGGAGAGCTAATTAGCTTATACTTTCTGATTATCAATTTTTAACTTCAAATAATCTCTACCAAACATGGCCAATATTCTTAGATAAGATGTAAATTTTGTAAAAATGTACTTGAAAATTAAACAGGATTTAGGAAAAATATAAAATTTCTCTCATAGTGTTATCTTTTGCTTGCTATTTACTGTTACATGTGTGACTTGTAAAAAAAACACGATCACGGTTTTCTTCATTACTGGGTGAACTTGATAAATTTCGGTTTGATATTGTAAGTGTTGATTAGCTTCATATTTGACCCTTTCATTCCGGTTTTCTTCAGAAGCTTTCCATAAGGGACCGGCATCCTTTAGGTGCAAGAAGGGGGAATTACAGCTATGACAGAAGTGACAACCACAGTGATAGGGAGGGGAATTGGAATGCCAATTCAAAATCACGATCTTCTGGGCGCAATCATAGTCGCAACCAAACTGAGAAGTCAAACTCCAGGCTAGACCGGTTGGCTTCCAGTGAAAACCGAGCAGGCAGGTTGGGGGGCTCATACAGACGTGACTCCGTTCCTTCTTACCAATCCCAAAATGGTGTCCAGCACTCCAATTCCAGCCAAAGTGGTCCTCCCAATGTAGCATATGGCATGTATCCTTTACCAGCCATGAACTCCAGTAGCGTGTCAGCAAATGGACCGACTGTTCCACCTGCTATGTTCTATCCATTTGAGCATAATGCAAGTTACAGTTCACATGCCGAACAGCTTGAGTTCGGATCACTTGGGCCAGTGGGTTTCTCTAGTATGAATGAGCAACCACAACAGCTAAAAGAAGGAAGTCAAGCGAGGGGAGCATTTGAGGAACAAAGGTTTGATGGGGGCTCTGTGCAACGATATTCACCAGATCAGCCATCCTCACCCCACCTTCAAAGGTCTTAGGTAATTGCTCCTTTTGAAGCTGATGGGAATTTGTGTGATTACTATAATATGTTGGGCCTGAGCTCTCATATGATAAAGTTGGGCTTTAAATAGTCACATGGATATAGATTTCCTTCTCGTCCTTTTTACAATTTTCAACAATATGGTTGAAGTGGCAGTATGTCATTTGAAGAGTCTCGAAAGTAGGGCATAGCTTCTGGGGAAAGATGGCAATGGACGGGTATGGACCGAGATCCCTCCTTCCCTGACCCCACCATTAGTTGAATTTTGTAATAAGGCAATAAAGTTGAATATGGAGAAATAATAGAGACAAAAAAGAGAAAAGAAAGAACAAAGGTTTTACGTGGTTCAACCAATATTGGTCTACATCCAGACACACAAAGCTCTATAGGCTACATCTTTCATTCACTCAACTTGATATTTTTGTTTACATGATGCACCATATGTATAGAGTGGGAGATGCAATCAAATCTCTTCAGTTAAGGAATTTAAATAAATCAAATATACAAAAAATCATAATAAATATAAATCATGGGATCTCTATATATTCTAATATCCTACATATATTTGACAATATAATCTTATCTCCAACACCGTTCTAACCTTGATGTATGTCTTTCATGACACGACGTGTCTTTTTCACAGAAGTATCCGTACTTCTTAGAAATGAACTATGCACTGCATGTTTAATGTTGTGGCTGTATTTGGCTTGCTTACCTATTATTTCCCATTTTATTCTTTTAGTTTTTGTTTGAGATTTTAGGCAATTTTTTTAACAATTATTTCCTTTTTTTTTTCTTCTTCACTGGAATCACTTTTGATGTTAACAATGTATTTGTCTTAACAGGAGTGCTTGATTATTTTGCCAGATTGGTGGCTCAAAGGAATTATCAGTTGAAAGATGAGGATTTTGCAGCCCTTGCATTTCTGAGCCAGGTAGAAAATGATAATGGGAGAAATTAGAATGAGAAAACCTCTAATGACTGGGGCTTATTGTTCTCTCACTTGTAAAAGGAAAAAAAAAAACCCCACAAATTATGAGGACATGATTGCTTAAAATTTTACTAATGAACTCGGTCACTATTGATGCCCCGGCTTCATGCTTGTATATGTAAACTACCAAGTCATCTTCTAACCAATAGCCATTTTCTATGTAGGTTTTGACAGATTTGTAATTCAATTGAAAAACTCTTCTGAGGTTTACAAATTAGGGTTTTTACATTGCTATGAAGCTATGTCGCTGTCAGGTCCTTTGTTAACACATTTTCTTAACGTTTTGATTCATAAATTCACTGTGCACTAGGGTTTGTTCAGGATGCTTGCAATTAGTGTGGCAATATCACCAAAAAAAAAAAAACAAAAACAAAAAAGGAAGATCAAATTAGATGACAAAGTCGAAAAAGTCTCATTTTTCATTTGAAGCTTTGATACTTCGTCATATTTCTACAGAGATTCTAAATGGTAGTTGTCCCATTATTAACAACTTTGATTCTAAAAAGTTCCCTGTGCGTATTTTCCCTTGTAATTTTTTGTATTGTTGTTGAAGATTGAATTCACGTGCCAAATGTATGTGATTACTAAATTACATTCTCAACTCTTCGAGTTATTTATTTATTTATTTTTGTATAAAATGGCCCCTTTCATCTGCCTCTTTTTGTTTTTGTTTTTGTTCTTGTAGTGTCTATGAAACTGTCTGTAAATGAGTCAACTCAGTCAAATATTACATTGTTTTAGTTTAGTTGACTATAGAATAAGTCAATCTCTAACAAGTTTTTAATAAATCAAACAAAAATAACCAAATAAATCATAATTTAAAATTTCAATCAAACGCCATTAGTTAGCTTTTTTCGGAGTAAGTTAATTTATAACTGTTACTAAACAGGACTAAAAACTAGACAAAGGGTGCTACTTTTTACTTTTTAATTATTAATTATAATTATACCAAACATACCTTATGGGTCTATAACATTTTTAAAGCCATGAACATTTTTTTGTATTTTTTAGACAGTGAATGGGTTTTAAGCATGCACTGGGTACCCGTTTGGGGAATTGAATTTTTAATCAAAAAGTTAAAAAAATTATTATAAATTATAATGTTACCTTATTTTTTGTATGTCTTTTTATAAAAAATTAATTAAACTCGTCAATTGCCAAATGGGCCTGATTTACACTCCTTTTCCTTTTATTTTCACAAATTCAAAAAATTCATACAAAGCCTTAATATTCTCCTTGTACCTTTTTAGTGCATGATCTAATTGATATGTGAGGGCCTTTGCAAAATGGAGTCCCTTCCGCCCTCCTCTAGACTAATCAATTTCAATTTATTTCCTAAATTCATGTTTTGCCAAGTAACATTGTTGCATCTTCAAATTTCGATTCCAATTAAATTATTGTAAAAAATAAATAATTAAATAAATTTGTGAATATAAATTAAAAACAATTTTGAAAATGACTTAAAAAAAATGTAAACTTAGAAAATAAATTAAAAACAACTCGCATAGTTTGGTTAAAACCTCCTAATCATCTTTTCCTTGATGTTGTTTTATACGAATATTAATCATAATAATAGCTCAATACCTTTTACAAGAAAAAATAAATAATAGAAACATGGCCTAAAGTTCGAGAGCAGGGTTAACTATGTACCCCTCCAAAATCAAAGGGCAGGGCACAAAAAAGACCAAAATTTGCTGGAAGTTTTCATTCCAAAAAATCATCAGAATAGCAGCAAAATCTACTTAGAACGCAACCCAGGAATGTTTCGAAGGCCCATTTTGCCAAGGACAAGCTTAGGAATCGCTGGAGGGTTGTTGAGCCCCATGCTCCGGCTGAACTCATTTACAAGCTCCACGAGTCTGTGCTTGTCCCGACCCACAATCTTAGTCGAGTTGTAGTAACCGAGCCATGCCTGGTATGCTGCTTCTTTGTTCTTCATCTCTACTTGGGCCAATGCTCGTTCCACCTGTCCAGATTAAGGTTTTAGTATTACACGAAAAAGTTTGCTCAAGAATTCCTGTTAAAGAACAAGAATTTGCACAGAAATTAGGGTTTTAAATATTGGCCAATTAAGTATTGTGATTTTAAGACTTCTAATACTAATATTCACTAATATATGATTGTATCACTCATACTGACACATATCCAAATAAAAGAAATCTAAAGGCGCTAACTAGTTTAGCAGCCGATTATGCTGGTAAAGTCTCTTGGTGGTGTTTGTTTCAATTTGGCTTACTAGTGTTTGGCTGATGAGAAAAACGACAGCAAACATGAAGATGAGAAAGAACCGTAAGTTCCATCTACACTCACCTTTTTCTGCGACTCCGGATCAACAGAAGGTGCCGGGGCTTTTGTAATTGGCAAATCCTTAACAGAAGACAAAAATGATTCCTCCCAAGGTGCCAATAACAATATGCCCTGCCCTTCTTTACCTTTACGACCAGTTCTACCAAGTCGATGTATGTACTGTTCTCTATCAGATGGCAAGCCAACCTGCATTTGCAAATATGATTCTTTCAGCCAATGGCAGCTTAAAAAACAAAAAATTATATCTGAAATTGTACAGCAAAAAAAAAATATTAGTACAAATTTTGGAAAAAGAACAATATCTCCTCCGATTTTAGTGTGGTTTTGCAAACCGAAGCAAGTGAGCTCGTCGAGGAAACTTTTTTGGTCAAATGGCGAACTCAAAAGCACTACTATTTTGTATTACATGGACCCTTCTATTTCTTCCAATGAACCTGTGTCTACCGGATATGACATGGATAAAGGTGTGGGATGTGTCTAACATCCGTACCCAATCAGCATGTTTGTTTGGTGGGATTGAAGGATGGGATTGGACCAATAGTTCATCTGGACTTATAGTCCATTGTTTGTTTCAAATTTTTTGCACCGGACTATTAATCTCAAATCTATGAGACTATTGTATCCCATTGTGGGGTGGGGTGGGGTGGGGTGGGGGTTGCGCAAATCATGGGATAACTCATCCCATGAGATTAGGTTGCCAAATTACATTGTTGACCCTCTAGTATTAAATATCTTTTCTCTTATGGTATTAATCCGATGGGATTAGGTTCCCAGGACTGAATTCCAAGATTACAATCCGATGGATTTCAATCCCCCCTTATCTAGTCCGTCCAAACAAACATGCTGAATTTAGACACTAGGATCCTCTAATTTTATATGATATTTGAAGAAAAAGACATTTATATTTGCTAATAAAGAAACATTTCTAATTTACTAGACGAACAGGGTTCCTAAATCCCATTTAATTTGAAGTATATTTCTAAACAATTTACATCTTATCTTATCCAAGAATATTATACAATATGCAATATATATCTGTTTGAGTCATGTCCCCGTTCCTATACCCAACCTTTAGATGTATATCCCAATATCCTAAAATTTAGACTTATGCTTGGTCACGCACCCACATCTGATACACGTATCTGAGTCTATATACACCATAGTTTTTTCACCAAAATAAAGGCATATTGAAATATCCATTTAATCAATACACAAACCAGAGTCTCTATACATAATCTAAAATGCACATTTCATGGCTTTTCAATAAGTATCGCTTGATTCAACTGTTTTAAGAGAACACAGAATCAACACGATACCTGTATAACAAGGGTAACATCTGGATAATCAACACCGCGTGCAGAAACATCAGAAGTCACAAGGATAAGCCCCTTTGACTTCCGGAATTCATCGGAGATCCTAGTTCTATAACTCTGTGGCTTCCTGGAATGGATCTCTCGAACATTTAGATTGAGCTGACCAAGGAGGTCAGCAACCAGCCTTGTGACCATTGCAGTTGTGCAGAATACAAGAACCTACCAAAAAATGGAAATAAAAAGGGTAAGCAAGCACAAAAATGATCATCAGTTTTTGACAAAACAGTCATTGACTTTCAGAGAAAGACCACAATCTCACAGCACTATGGTATACATTACACTAACAACCAACTAACATTAGGGATATAAAAATTTCCCCGTCACCTCCCTGTCTTGCACGGATTTTCGCTACCTTGATAAGAAAACAGGGAGGAGACGAGCTTTGTTTGCCCTACCGTCAATTATATTACTTAAATATCTTTGGCTTATATATATGCTTATATACAATTTAATTTATTAAGTATAACGAGATTAAAACATCTAAACATTCATATATATATATATCATTTTTCACCTCTCTATTCTCTTGTTTTTAATCTTTTTAGCTCTCATTACTCATCAATCTTTGTCCCCTTACATGTTATATCATTTCTCTCATTAGTACTGTCACTTTCATAGCCACCTCCCTGATTTTTCCCGCCCAGACAAGGAACTGGGTGGGAAAGAACACCACAAACCTGGGCCCACCCTACTCCATTACCATTCCTAACTAATACAATAAACGCCAACCATAAAACAGTCATTTTGAATCAGCGGTCAACTTGGAAAATGTTCAACTATGTGAGTCACATAGCATTTCCCGTATTTTCCACAAGAATTTGAAACAATTACAATCATCTTTTGAGAATACTTTGGGTCAAGATATTTCAGACAAGAGCGCTTTCAGACTACACTGTACCTTGTAATCAGCATCATCTGAGATATGCTCTTTCAGTTTAACATACAGTACTGGAAAATGTTTGTCCAAAGGAGCAACTAGATGCATCTGTCTGACCTGTAATTATCCAACGTTTTAAGATTTGAGATGCCAGTATATTCATATGTAAACAAAATATATAACAGGAAGGAAAATTTTCACTTTGCACCCTTGTACTTTACACTCAATCCCACTTTGCCCTGATCTTCAATTGTCCCAATCAACTTCCTAAATTACAGTTGGGCTCAATCTGTTTTTTTGATAAATTACAGTTGGGCTCAATCTTATGGCGTCGTTTCAAGAATTGACAGAGGGGCTAAAATGGATGGACTAAAGTGGGATTTTGGTAGAAAGTACTATCATGTGCATGGGTATTAAGTGTAATTAATACTATCACGTAGTTGTTCTACGTTAGTTTTCAAAACGGCGTTATGCAGATGGGCCCCATTGCAACTTGACTTGAAGTTTTGGGGGGTTGATTGGGACAATTAAAAGGCTAGGGGCCAAAATGGCATTGAATGTAAAGTGTAGGGTTGCAAAGTACAATTTACCCTAAGAAAACAATTGCAGATGGCCTTCAGCCTACCTGTGAGTGTGTCTGCTCACTATCATCTCCAACTGTATCAATAAACTCATGTTCTCTTTTCAAAGCAATATGGCAGATTTGGCGGACCTACATACCAAAAAGCACAATCAGATTTTCTTTCTTTTATTTTTAATTTCTTAAGAGGGGAAGAAAAAAAGAAGTCGTCAAAGAACATGTTAGCACACACTAAAATGGAGATTACAACAAAACCTCTTTTGGAACAGTAGCAGAAAAAAGAAGTGTTTGTCGCTGTTTTGGTACGGCAGCTATGATCTTCTCAATGTCTTTGCGGAATCCCATATCTAATAAATGATCAGCTTCATCAAGCACAAGGACTTTCACACCCATGAGCCGAGTTGCAAATCCGGTGGTATTCTCAGTGTGATCTCTGAGTCTTCCAGGTGTAGCTACAAGAATCTGAGTAAGCAGCAAAAATTACCAGCTAATATCCGACAAAGTACATTAAGATGAAATTAGTCAAGGTAGCATTACTAAGTTGCATGCACACAGTTATATATGCAAACATGCAAACGGTGAAGTGTTCAACTGTATTACTTTTACTTGAAAACTTTTTATTGAATAAATTAAAACATTATTTTTTTATTAGTTCTCTATTTGCAAGGGATTCCACCACATTATGGCTGGAAGTTTAATGATTTAATTGGTAAGCATTATCTTTCTAAATTTAATTTGATGCATGGCCTGGGATTCCTAAGAGGATGCAAAAAGAACTCAGCAAGCAAGTCTGACACATGATGCATTCTCTTTCAATGATAAGAGCAACAAGTCTATGGACACAGAACCAACCACACAAAACAATCCTGACCATATATATCAGATGAAGGGACCCATAATAAAAGATGCAATTTCGCTTAGATTTCTCCAACTATGTTTTATGTGGGTGGTTATGTGTCAATAGACTTACTGTGATAAGAAACTCACCTGGCAAGGATTTGTTTGCATACGTTTCTGTTCTAGAGCAAGTCTTGTACCTCCTATCACAACTTGAACACCAAGAGAAGGATGAAACTTCAACAATTTCTTGGCCTCTGCAGCAGCTTGACTAGCAAGCTCTCGAGTAGGGCATATTACAAGCACAAGAATTGGGGGTCGCTTTTGATCACGGCCAACAGGGGGTGAATTCACAACTACTTCAATTGATGGAAGCTGAAATGTGAGAAGATTAATGTTTGAGTCAGCTAAAAAACTGAGACCTATTATATACAATGCATCAAATGAAAATCAACCCAGATATGATTTTCACCGTCTCTTCCCTACATATCCTCTAACAACTTGGCACATAAATTCGGATGAAATCAATAACCAACCAAATCAACTCCCTCCCCCACTTTTTTCAATTCTTCCTTTTCACTAATTTGATCTAAGATAAGGGTTAAATTAAGAGAGAAGAAAATAGGTGGGGCATGGGCTGTAACAATATTTTGTCCTTGCACTTCAACCTATTCACTAGAGGAGAGTTAAAAATTCATGTGCTATTCTCCACCAATCTTCCCTTGATTCAAAAGTTAGCATGAACTAACCAAAAAAAAATAAATAAATAAATAAAATGATTTACCAAAAATGCTACAGTTTTTCCAGTGCCAGTTTTTGCCTTGGCGAGAACATCCTTACCTAAAAAAACAACATTATTGTCATATAAATAGAAGCTTGAATCATGAATTACGATAATTTACAAAGAAGTAATTCTTTTTTTTTTTTTGGTTGTTGTTGTCAGAAATGAATAACTAAAAGTTCCTTTCATCACTACCCAAATGGCAAATTTGTGCACACCATTGCAAGCAGTAACTGTGTGTACCATATTAGTTCAGAAATACCCAAATATCATGAAAAAAATTATGTCAAACTCCAGTTTCCCGCCAAATTATGCTCCCTTAATCTTAAAAAGAAGGTGATGATGATTAGAAAGAAAAGGAAATGAAAAAATAAAGAAAGAAAAACATTACGTCTTAGCCACAGTTCTTTCTTACAAATAACAAAATGTGCTTGGAAGAGACAAACCTTTGAGAATGACAGGAAGTGTTGCCTCTTGAACCACAGTCATCTTCTCGTATCCGGCATCCTTAATTCCCTTTAAGGACGAGGGAGAAACTGAACATTGATCAAACCTGAGAACATTCACAAAAATCAAATCTTCATAAAGCAAACAAACAGAGAGTGTGTCCATTCAATTCAACTAAACAGGGCCTCATATCCAAATTAGCAGCTGTCATCCCACAGCATTATGGCACAAGTTCAAATCACGGAATTGAGCTCTCCACAAAAGTGGGGTAAGGTTGCCTACCTACTAACTCTCGCCCTATTTTTAAGTAGGAGCCCTGTGCACTAGACACTACCTTCTTTTTTGTCAAATCTTTGCAAATCTATTGCCATTCAAATTCATTAACATCCTCATTCCCACTCATACTTTCACTAAATACATATCACATATTTTAAGAACAGCATTCCAATGGCAAGCTCCCAAGCAATGTATTGCAATCAAATATTGCAAATGCCATTTGGGGAAATAAACCAACTAGCAATATTCTTTTTTTTATTTATTATTATTATTATTATATAAATTATGCATTAGGGAACAAACTAAGCAACTCATTTTTCGCTCACTGTAATTCGGTTCAATGGAATGAAATGAGATGGATGGAATGGTCATTCTTTAGGTTCTCCTATGAAATGATCATTCCCTTAGAATGGTGAATTGTGATTTCATTTGAAATATATTTTTTATTATGTTTTTAAGTCAACCAAACATGAGAATGAATATTTGGATGGAATGATCATTCCATTTCAGGGAACCAAACACTACCTAACAATTCCTTTTACCCAAGGTTTCCCTTGTAAATCCATGATTCTGACGACCATGTTTCTCTAATTTCCTGTCCTTCAATCCCATAACAAAAATTTGCGATATTCCCAAAACTATAATTAACAGAAATGAAAATGCTACATAATTAGAATGTTATGAGCCAAACCTGGTCTCACTCAAGTATGATTCACTTCTTGCAGGTGAACTAGGCACAGCCCTTTGACTAGCTTCTTTCTTTGCTGCACACAAAGGACCTGCATTCTTGACCGTATCACCATCACCATCTTCCTCTTCACTATCTACCTCACTCATTAAACCTCTAAATTTGTTCATTAACCCATCTTTCCCTAACTCCTCATCCTTACTGCCAATTTCCTTGTCTGATGTAAAAAAACCGCCTTTTTGCAAAATTCCACCGCCTCTCTTCAATCCACCACCACCACTCCCTCCTTGGTCCCGCCCATACCTGAATTCTGAACCTCTCCCACCTCTACCACCACTCCCTCCTTGGTCCCGCCCATACCCAAATTCCGAACCTCTCCCACCACTTTTAGATATTGTCGAATTCTTCTCTCTCCACCGGGACACAAACCCGTTATCCTCTCCATCCAATTCACCACCAAACCCTGTTTTCCCTCTCGAGTTCCTCGAAATTGACCCAAATGAATCCCTACCTATTTTCCTATTCGCCATCAAATCATCACCCGAATCGCCATCTCTTTGCCTCTTCCCAGAAGAAATCCAATCCGTACCGTTACCTCTACCCGAACCAATGCCATTACCATCAAACGAGTCCGATCTCAACCCACTCACCCAATCGCTGAGTTCAGCCTCGTCGTCAATAAGGCTCTTCGAACCCCCAATCTCGGCTCTCGAACTGGGTCTGGGTCGAGTAAAATGGGTCGAAAATCGACGAGTAGGGAGCTGAGATTGGTACTTAAGCTTATGAGGGAAGATCCGAGAGAACATCGGGAGGATCCGAGAGGAGTGTTTGGAGGGTGGCTTGGCCTTCATCATGGTGGAGAAACGGGCTACCGGAAGAGAAGGGTTGAAGAGGAGACGGAGGTGTGAGAGGAGGTTGACTCGCATGGGAGAGAAATTCCGGTAACTGAAAACCTGATTTCCAGGTGACCAGTTGTTAGGGTTTGGGTTTGGGTTGCGGCGCGAGAGGGTGGAGAGGGATGGTGGGGTTTAAGCCCAATCCGCCCTCTGCTTCTGACAGAGGGAGGGTTTAAGGAGAAGGTGATTTATTTTTATGCAAATTACAAATACAGCCTCCACCCATCTTTTAAAATTTTTAATTTTATAATAAATGATCAATTTTATTAGGTGTGAGCAACAGATATATCGATCTGTTTATACTGACCGAATCGAACCGATCCGTCATATTTTGGACGGATGCGTGATGACGAGCAGACAATTGCGGATTAATTTTTTTCGATTCACCTAGTTTTTTATGGATAGCGAATTTAAGATTCTCTTTGGACGCAACCGAATCACTGAACTGTCAAACTGCAAGTACGCATAGTAATTTATAAGACTTGGTGTTTTCAATTTGTTTAGATATTCTGTTTGTGTTTTCAATTGAAAAATAGTTTAAATATTTGTTGAATATGTTTTGTTAAAAAAAAGTGTGACGCCCCAAATCTACACTATTAGTTGTAGTCAAGGAAAAGTCATTAATAAGTCCAATAGTCAATAACCAAGTAAGATCCCAGATCGCCGAAGGAGTCAAATTAGCCTTCCTTCTAAGTTTAGCTTTCTTAAGTAGCGCACTACTTTTTTGACAGATCTTAAGAGGTATTGACACAAGGTCTCGTAAGCGACGTCAGGGGTTATATTGGTGTTAGAATATAAGTACATAATAATTACGAATATCCTTAATTACAAAAGCTCGTTCCATTAACATTACATCCCAAAAGAAAATTTTAATTTTCATATAAGCCTTACAAAACATTAAAAGGGAAATTTCTAACTTTTCTAAGATAGTCAAATGTCTTCGAAGGATTCTGGCTCATCGTCTCCTGCTATAAGCTCCTCTTCGGCACCTGGCATGATACACCGTGGGCTTTGAATGCCAAGTAAACGCACACACACCCCATCCATTTTCTCAGTCCAATACACAACAACATTTACAAAAAGATAGAGGAAAGGATCATGGCATTTAAGTTCATAGCACAGATTATATGGTTAGTTGTCTAGAAATCCCCCAAAGAGATTTCATCCTCCAAACTCCAAGAATTGGACACGGATTATTCGGTATGCCTGCTGTTTTGCTGTTTTGTTGCAGACCTTATCCCGGATGTCTACCAACGGTTATATACCGCGTAGCGCCAACGGAGGGCCTCAAAAGAGATGGTAATGATGGGCCTAGCCCAAATCCCTCCTTACACCGAACTACATCGGGTCCGAATACAACCGCTCCATTCAAGGGTTCCGAACAACCAGTTGTGCAAGACTTGCTCATTTTAATCCACTACTAATATCAACTTAACATTCTCATCACTTATGATGTATGACTAGTGTGGTCGTTAACCGTCTTTACCAACCCATTTAGTTTTCCCATTTTTCACATTAAGTTCAATACACATTAGTGGTAAGCACAAATAAGAGAAAAATAAGGCCATTCAAGGTGAAACTCAAGCATACGAGTATAACAAATATTATAACAAATATGTCATGATAGCACAAAAGCATTGGCTACAACAAGAGCTACACTGTTCAGATTTCCAGTATTGCACCGGTTCAAAAATAAATATAGAAAAAATATTTTTTAAGGGTTTCAGAAATGTGGCTTCTAGATTATTTGTAGAGGATCAAGTCTAGTTTCATAATCATTTTACAGAAGTAGGGTGACCCTTTTTGATTTTTAGATATTTAAGAAATACACAGACTCTGCCCAAATTTGACAACGGTTACAAAATTTGGTGTTTCTCTTAAAATACTCATTCATTTTCATTGAAACAAATTTTGTTTGAAAGCTAACCTTCCGAGGAAGATTTTGATGCGAGATCATTTTTCTATAATTTTCTAGAATTTCTCAAAGTTTCCAGTTTTAAATAGGTTCTTGCACTAAGTATTTAGAAAAATAAAAGAAGTCATAAAAACACATCCATGGTCTTAGCCAAAATTTCACATACTCCATACATGTCAATTAATACCCCTTTAAAACAGATTTTGAGTTGGTGAAGGCTTGCTATGGAAATAAAATCAAAAACCTTGAAAAAAAACTTGTTTGAAATTACAAGGAAGAAGAGGAACATTTCATTTTCAAATCATACATCATCTAACAATGTAGTAACTCTTAATATCATGTGAAATATATTTTTAGCATGTATTATGAAGGGGAGAAACATGATGATTCATTGAGAGGAGAGGTGTATGAGATTTATCTTGGTTTGTTAGATCTTTTTCCTACTTGTTACTCTATTTTCTTCTCTTTTTCTCTTAAGCTCACTTGCTCTCTCTTTCCTCCTCTCTCAGTCGTGTGTTGTGTGTGTATGGAGTGAAATAAAATAGCTAGAAAGGCTTGTATTTATAGGCCAAGGAGAAGAGAGAAGGGTTAGGTTGGTTTAGAGAGAAGGATTGGTTTGGTTTGGTTGGTTTTCAATTGAAACTATTCAAGTTTGGTTGGTTTGTAATTGGATCCAATTAAGATTTGTGTTAATTAATCTTGATTAATATAAGGTAATCCTATTTACTAGTTAATTGGGAGACAAAAAAGATATAGCAATAAATGTCCTACATTCCTCCATGTTGGTCAAAGATTTGTTGCATATTTGTACAAGATTTGCTATGTATAAAAAAAATACACTTCTAGGTCCTTTTCACCACCCATAGCCAGCTACCCTATTTACCCATATGAAAAATTGATTTTTTTTGTTAATAAAATATAGAGGATATTTTGTATAAATTAATAAAATATTGGTTGTACCTTTATTGAATAAAAATTAAGGTTTTAGGGCCAAAATGCAATAATTAAGAAAGAAAATGGTACAATCTGAAATTTTGAAATAAAACATATGCTTACGTCATATAATTAATAAAATAATGATGGAAAAAAATAATTCGGGCCACATGATGCTAATTCGCAACAAAAGGTGAGATACCGGGCTAAAACTGCGATTACTGAAAACTAGGGTTTTTCTCTTATAATTTTTCATTATAGGGTTTCTAAATCATTAATTCAGGGTTTTAAAATGTTTCTTAAGTTCTCAGAGTTGATTAGGATTTGCTGATTAGCTCGCACAGTCGCTCCTGATTTCCAAGGTTTAATTTGCAAGAAATTGATAAACAAGGTTTCTTATTGAAATTCTTCAACTATAAGCGTTTGAGAACATTACAAAAAGTTAGGGCCTCACAAAAAGTTTTCAACTTGAATATATTTTTTGAATTGAAAAAAATAAATGTATTATTTGTTTATATTTTTTGGTTTTTAAATCTAACTCTAAAAATAATAAATAAAAAAGATGATATATTCTGGTTAATTTTTGTTTTCAAAAATAGATATAGATGTAACAATATAGAGGTATACAATCTCTACTACTGCTCTATTCATGGTTTTGGTGATTTGAATTGTTTTTATATTTTAAGAACCACAGATTGTAATACTTTATGAGGCATGTTGTGTTTGTAATTTGTAAATGAGTCATGCAGTGACTATATAATATTCTAAAGTTTCAAACTTTCTTTCTTTGGATAAGGCATGCAGTGATTGTAATACTTTTTTAAATCATAGACTGTAATACTATTTTTTTTTTTTTTTAGGAAGTGCACAAGTTGAATTATGTTGAAAATTTATAAAATTTTAAACCGCCAAACCGATTCGCATATATCCGTCAATCCGCTCAATCCACATCTGTCGATTTAGCATACAGATGCGGATTGATTTTCGCCAATCCGCCAATCTGATGGATGGATGGATGGTAGATTGGAGATTCCGTGGCCTCAACCATCCTGCGCCCACGCCTAATTTTTATTAATAAATTATCAAATCAATTAATAATTTTTAATGATATCAAAAATTTATTTTAATTAATAATTCAGGTATTCTATCATTGTATAGGAGAATAGCTAGAAATTTTATTTTTTTAGTTAATTCTGTTAAATAAAAAATTCTAATAAGGAACAATTTTTATAATTTTTTAAGGATAAATTACACTGACACCTCCTGAGATTTATATTTATTACAGTTTTTCTCTCACATTTTGGAAATTACATCTCCCCCTAAGGTTTAAAGTTTCTTACAAATTCCCTCCCTTAGCAATTTAATTTTTTTAAATATCAATTTTGCCCTCACTAGGTAAATTACATTGACACCTCTCACATTTTAGAAATTACAATCCCCTCCCTAAGGTTTAAAGTAGCATTACGAGATTGATTAAGCTTCGAGACCGAGAGATCAAGGGCCTCTTGTTGTTGATCTTCACTTAGGAAAGTTGGATTTAGGGTTTGCAGGTTCGTTGCGAGTGGCGCTAAGAGATCAGTTATTTTTTTGCATCACAAAAATAGTGCCCAAACTAATTTTTTTTTTTGAAGAAATTACAAAAATAAGGGTAAATTACGCCGACGGCCCTGAAGTTTATGTTTATTACAATTCTCTCTCATATTTGAAAAATTATACTGACTCCCTATTAGTGTAATTATTTAACGGTGTTAACTTTTAAGTTAAAATGACATATTTATCCTCAACCTTTACATATACTTTAAAGGGTAAATTACATTGACACTCCTGAGGTTTCAATTTAATACGGATCCCCATTGGCATTTAAAAAAAAACTAATTTAATGAAAACAAATATGAAGAAATATATTTAGTTTGTAAAAAATTATTTCTATTAACTTGAAAGATAAAAATTATATAAAAATGATAATTATTTTTTATTTTTTATTTCTTAACCAAATTAATTTTTAATTTTTTAAAAAAAATTATAAAAATCAAACCATACATAGCCTAAGAATGTTTTGATAAGTCATTTTTTACATTGGTAACTTATTTAATTATTTGTTAATTTTACGACATTTTTACCATCTGAAGCCTGTTTGGTAACCATTTCGTTTTTAGTTTTCAATTTATATTTACAAAAATTTTAAAAATTGTCATAAAAACTTGTTTCATAATTTTTTTAGTTTATAAATGGTTGTTTCAGTTTGTAAATTTGAGTTTTTTAAACATAAATTTTAAAATTTTACTAATAATTTTTTTTTCAATTAATTTTTTTTCCATCTA